ACTAATCAGATTTCCAGTCCTGTTTGGGGAGCTTGAGTTTCCTCGTTCCTTAACACTTTCCCTGCTACGCCGAGCGTAACCCTAAACAGCGCTCCAAACAGGAAATTGCAGGAACGCCTGGCACCCTTTGTTGAGGTTTGTGCATCTGTGAAAGGGGGAGAGAGGGCGTGAAGGTCAAAGGTCACGGAGAAGAGCGCGGCATTGCAGCTAGCAGCACAGCGCAGCTAAGTGCTGCAGGAAGTTAGAAAAGTAAAACTTTGACATGCTTTACCCACTGGTGGCATCGGATTAGCAAAAAACAAACAACAAAACCAAGGTCTTATTATTTTCTCTTAAATAATCCAAACTAGTGAAGCTTTTTAAACATGTTCTTTACAACTAAATAAGGAATCTGTTCTGTCTCAGTAAACGTCACCATGACGCTCCCAGTGTGTTAAAGAGTTCAGTTGACTCAGTAATCATGTTGAGAAAAATGAATGCAGTGACTATTCCGTATTCAGTGTTTTTGTTTATTAGAAACCCTGTGAGCTATTAAATATGCCGATTTTTTAGGTATATCCCGCCGTTGTCTGCACGAGGAAGTCCGCTGAAGTTAATTTAATATCCCGCAAGGTTGCTTTTTGACTGCTTTAGAAAAACAGAGCATCTTCAGTCAGAGGCTTCTTCAAATGGGCTGTAACACAGGCTGCTACAGGAGATCCTTCCAGCTCACAGCTCATCACCGTCTACAAGAACTTTTTGAAGACTTTTGAGTTAATGCGAGCTACAGCAACATTTCATTTCCCCTTTGGAGTCAATAAAGTATTTTTGAATTTGAATTTTTAAAGATTCATTTATGCACTGCTTAAATGAATGGCATTATGGCAGAAATATGAATGTGACTCAGGATCTCTCTCGTGACCTTTGACTCTTTATGCATTAAGGCGGACATTTTCCTGTACAAAGTTGATCATTATCAAATTTACAATTGAGATAACATTATTTTTAGCATAGTATTTAAAAATTTAACAATTGTTTTTCATGCAGATGTTTATTTACATTGGCTATAAAAGGAATACACAAAACTTCTTTTTTTTACCATATTAACTGTCTTAAAGTCAGTTTTTATGGTTTGTTTCCTTTTAAGAATGTAAAGTTGCTGGAATATTTTCTTAGATTAAAACACAAGGCAGATAAAGAACTATTATAGAAGTTGATTCTGACATGGATCTTGTAATTAATTTGAACATAATGCAGGTTTATAAACCAAAAGTTTGATCTATTATCAACTTCATCCATTTGCTCTCAGCAAATAGCACAAAAAATAATAAGAAGAAATGAAGTAAAACAACAAAAACACTGACGCTCTGAGAGAGCCTCTCAGACTCTCTGGGTTGCAGATAAGGCATGTTTTATGCGTAGTTCATGTTTACAATCCATTTATATTTACATTTATGTGGTTTAAAGCGTACATTGGAACACGTTGAGGGAGAAGTGTAGAAAATTTGCACATCACGAAAACACCGACTGGTCTGACTTTTCTCTGCTGCCATGATGCGTCTTCAGGACTTAACCTGCTCACTCCGTCCATGTCCATGTCCATGTCCACGTCCATGTCCTGTCCACGTCCACGTCCATGTCAGTAATGTTTGCACTGATTTGTTGTTGCAGCGTCTTAACTGATTTTCTTTAGAAAAGTATTCAGACCCATAGATTTTCTTCCACATTTTGCTGTATTACAAAACTCAGGGTATTTTAAGGAAACATAAACTCTTAGCCATTATTTTTGGTCTAGTTTCTATAATGCAAATATCTTAGTACACTTGAAATAAGACAAAACTAACTCATAAGTAACCTTTTAGTAAGATATAGGAGCTTGTTTTAAGTCAATACTTTTTGAAAAATGGGAAAAATGTTTTGAGAGAAATAATCTGCCAGTGGAACTAGAACTAACACTTCTTCCTCAGTATTGACTTAAAACAAGCCCATCTGTCTTACTGAAAATTTAGCTTTCATTAGTTTTTATATGTTTCAAGTGAAATAAGATATTTGGACTAGAAACTAGACTAAAATTACTTGGCAAGATTTCGCTTTTTTGCAACAAACCTAAACAAAGTTTTGATTGTGAAGTAAGAGGAAAATGATGAATTATTTTCAAAATGTAGTACGACTACATGTGTTCTGACTTCACGTTGGATACTTCCTGTAAACCACCATCCGCTGCACCTACAGCTGCAGGTTTTTTTGGCTGGATAGCTCCAGGAACTTTGCTCCTGCAGCGACAGAATTTGTGTCTCGTTTGCAAAACCAGCTCAATTCCTGTAAGATTGGATCAATTTTGCACCTTCTATCAAAGTTTTCTGGTATGAGTTTCCCAACATTTATCTCCATCCTTCTACCTATCAACTCCAAATTGCTTCCCTGTGTTTCCATGCATCCACTGAGTTTTCCCCCATAGGAACATTGTGCTCAGTGTCACGCAACACATTCCATGTTGCGATTGTTTTGGTCCCATCTGAGCCGAGCTACAGTACGGACATTTTACGACTTTCTTCCAACGACAACTTTCTTCGTTCCGTCCCCCAATTAAGGTCAGATTTGTGGAGTCAGCAGTCAGTGCAGGTCCTGTCAACAGCTCCACCCAGGGGGATGTGGTGAGAGGGGTCCAGAGGGCTGGGGGTCGTCAAATCCAGGCCTGGAGGTTCGGTGACCTGCAGCTCTCAGATGTGTGCCCGGTTCAACACACCTCAATCAAATGGCTGAACTACCTCCTCACCATGCATTCAAGTTCTCCAGAGTCCGGCTAATGGCCTCATTACTTGGCTCAGGTGTGTTGAAAGCGGAGGCACATCTGAAACCTGCAGGACTCTGGCCCTCCAGGTCCGGATTTGAGGGTTCCTGCCATAAAGGCCTGGGCTTTAAATTAGTAGTGGGACTCAATTCAGACTTTCTGTTGAGTCAGTTGGACGGTCTGTAGTTAATTAATTGAAGTATAAGTCAACAAAATAAGCAAAATTTTCAGTTAGAAGACCTTTTTTTTCTGCTAGGTTATTGAACGAACACACACATGAGCTGAACAATAACAATATTTATTGTTTTTAATGTTATTCAGGTTATTCACCAATCAGATTGGAGCAAAGTGCTGTTATACCTATTCATCTTTCGAGTAGTTCAGAAAACCCTAGATCATTCATAGAACATAATTAGAACTGTGGACGCTAACATTAGCATTGGGGACGTCTGTGCTAGTTGCTACATTTTTAGCACTGAGATGCTAGTTTAAGAAAAGATAAACCTTTTTTAGTCCCACAGTGGAAAATTTAATAACATACAAAACAGAACAGTGTACAAAAGAACACCATACAAGCTAAAGCTAAGCTATAAAGATAGTCTTGATTAGCTTTGCTGATAGGCTAACTCCTTTTAGCACAATAGTTTTCTCCAGCGTCCAATAAGATCTTTTTTTTTTTTTTTTAGCAAAAATTAGCCGCCTGTGGGACGAGAGACATCCATTGTTGCTGGCGGATGTCGCTTGTGCGTTGGATTTATGGACATCCCAGAAACACGTGACTTTAAAGGTTCCAGTCAAAAAAAATTTATATATATATATATATATATATATATATATATATATATATATAATTTTTGTTGAAAACTATTTGCCGTTTTCCTTCGATTTCGCGATCATGTGTTACTTTATCTTGCTCTGTCACAGGAAATCCCAATAAAATACAAAATACATGTACGTTTGTATCGTGACGAAATGTGAAAATGTTTGGAAGACCAGTTGTGATGTGCCTGTGTGGGGTGAGAGTGTGACCCTCCCAGACCAGAAATATCTTCTGCCATGTGTGACGTTTGTTTTCTTCTTACACACACATGTGGGTTTTGCTTGTGGCAGAATGTATAATTTTTGCCTGTCTCTTGTGTGTGTGTGTGTGTGTGTGTGTGTGTGTGTGTGTGTTAAACAGGGTGGTGCAGCCTTTCGAAGGCTATAACAAAAGGCCCAAATGAAAGTCTTGTCCATGTTTCAGGAGTGAGTGATGACTTTGGCAGAGGCTCTGCAGATAAAACACTTTCAACTGAGCTCAGGGCCAGAACTAAAAGCAAACAGCTGTGCTCCTCTCTCTCTCTCTCTCTCGCTCTCTCTTTTCGCACTTATTTCCAGCCATACGCTGTCATTCTTCTTCTCCTTTCCCCTCCCTCTTACTTCTTCTACCCCTCCGTTTGCTTTATTTACCTGAGTTTCTCTCTTGACAAGCCGCCACGTTAGTTGGCCTCTCCCCCCTCTATACCGTTATCGCTAATTTCTTTGTCCTTTCAGTTCTTCCTTCTTTTGTTATTTTTCTCCACACCAAGGTACTAACTGAACTATGTTTTTGTAAAACGAACACTAACAATACTTACTTTTTAAAATTTTATTTCTCTCGACTTGTTTTTCTCCTGCCCTCTTCCTGCTGTTTAATAGGTGGAACTCCCCACAGTACCAAAACCTTGTGTACAACATCATCAAATATTATGGCCACGCTTAATTGAAACTACGCAGCCGAGCGTGTGACTGCATGTGGGTTGTTTTATGTTGGCCTTGTTGAATATTTTAAGTGGACTGGAGAAACGGCGGACTGGATTTTTTATTTTTATTTTTTTGTGGCAACGCAGCTCGACGTTTAGGGTTTTTTTTCCTCAGCAGAGAGAAACAAACTCTTGACGCCTTCCAAGGGTTTCAAGAGCAGGTCATCAGAACCAGACCGACCGTGACCTGACCTCAGTGCGGTGACGAGGCCAAGGTCAGAGCGCCGATAACTTTACGTCAAATGTTAGCGGAAGCGTCAGAAACAGGCATACGAACCGGAGACGAAAATAGTTTTGGTAATCGTGATATATTGAAATATTTCAAGAAAAAAAAAATCGGATTTAGCCATCTTTATTTCAAGCCAGACATAAACATAATCACGTGTTTTAGTTGGGTTGTTGTCCAGGCGTTCACGCTGCGGTTCTCGTTGTTGTTTTTTTTCGTGCAGGTACGTGTACCACAGCTCCAAGTGGATGGTGGCGGGAAACGCGGACTCCCCGGTGCCGCCGCGGGTTTACATCCATCCGGACTCTCTGGCTTCAGGAGACACCTGGATGAGGCAGGTGGTCAGCTTCGACAAGCTCAAGCTCACCAACAACGAGCTGGACGACCAGGGACACGTAAGGAAACGTCTTTCTTTATTTTTTTAAAGCCCCCACGTCACCCGGTGCGCAGTGTTGCATCATTCATGCGGTTTGAGTCAATATGGTGCGGCTCCCCTTTTACAACCCTAAGAATACGTTCATCTTTTGTTGCATCAGCATAATCTAAAAAATAATAATAATGAATAAAATAAGATCTTTATTTGAGAATTTTTATTTTGTAAAAAATGTTTTTATAAAACATGTTAACATTTCATATAGTTTTTAGTTTTTGAAGTTTTTTTGTTTTGTGTTATTTTTTTTACTGTAACTTCAACATAATTGAAACAGTTTTTAAGTTATAATTTACTTTTTCAAGTTAGTCAAAGTTTCTAGTAAATCCAGACAGCAATTCCATTAAATTCAAATTTAAAAATACTTTATTGACTCATATTAATTCAAAGAGTTGTTGTAGTTAGTGATGGCTGTGGCCAGGAAGGGACTTCTGCAGCAGTCTGTGTTGCGGGTAATTTGAAGACACTCTGTTTTTCAATGGGAGTCTCATTGAGATGCTTGACTGGGTTGACCATCATTGTCTTGTTTGATAGTACTATTATTATAACTCAGGATTTCCTATTTCCTCAATTCTTTTATGCCCTGTTCAAAAAGGGAAACACAAGAGAACATTTAAGTTAGACTTATGTGTCTTTAAATAGGTAAAACAAACAAAAAAAAAGAGCTGAAAATGGGTTGGAAGGCTTAAAAATGTCCAGAAAGCCATATTTCATTTCATTTCATTACCAAAACACAAATGAGGCGAAACTCACTTTCTGACAGCGGTGGCAAATGTTTTGCAGTGCTACTGAACTAGAGGCTTTTTATCTCCTCCAGAATAAAACAGCGGTGAAGCTTAGGCCTAAAATGGTCTGATTCTGGTTTAGTTAAATTAAAGTTAACTGTCCTGAAGTGGGGTCAGGAGGGAAGAATGCCACAGCAGAGTTTTCTACATGTTCTGCCTCTCTGTGGCTCTACGTCAGACCACAGCGTCCCGCTTCACCCGACGGACTTTTGCTCTTCAACGTTCAAGCTGTGATTTTCATTTTCGTTCCCTTTTGAGTCTCACATGGTGCCGGAGCTGGGTTAGCCATCCTTGGATGGAAATGTTTCTTTTTTTTGATGCATTTGCATGAAAGGAAACTTGAAAGGGAATATCTTGGTGAACCCGTTGCGTTCATGACTCACGCGGCCGTGAGACTTGCTCAAAATCGATTTTCTCTCTTCTGTGCCACACGCCGCCCTCCCACGCTCTTTTCTCTTTTTTGAAGTCCGCGTCTTGTACGGGAAACATATTAGAAGTCTGGAATTTGAACCAGTGTGCTGAATTTAATACATAATATTTATTCCCTTCAAGCAGCACAAGGATTTTGTTATAAAACGGTTTGGGTAAAGGCACATAATGACTGAAGTTGATTTGTATTTCACTCAAGCAGCGACGCAGCTAGAACTCGAAGTCTCACCGCAATACGCCTGATTTACTGCCTCGCTCGCAGGCAGCCAGTTACAAAGGTAGTCAGCTGAATTGAGTTTCTTAGTGGTTCTTGGCCGCTCCGAATGGATAATGTGGGTTTAAAGGTGCAATATTTAACCGTAATGCACCAAGTAAAATCATCAGCTCTTTGATTTACTGCTTCATGTATCTAATCAGGCAAAGCGACTCAAACGGCTCCGTTACCGAAGACAATCGGGACCCTGTTCGCATTTTGCGCCGACCGGGATCCTCGGTGATCTGGTTGCCAAGAGAACATCACCAGACGCGGCTGATCAGTGCACATTCACAGGCGGTCCGTCTGCTGCAGCAGGATCCACATCAGGTTCTGGCAGTCAGAACGCAAATGAGTCCTGGACTGGATTAGAGAACCGCATACCGACCCGACGTGACTGCACTCATTCTGTGGAGTTACAGACAGGACGGTTTCTTCTTCTTCTCCTGAATTAAAAATAAAAGCATTTATCCATCCCTGAGAATAAACTGAAGAAACAAACGGCCCAGTCAAAGTGCAGTTCGCATCTGATTTTGTGACTTTCAGGGTTTGAAAATATGGGAACTTATCCACATTTTCATTTACGTTCTCCTCTGTTTGTGTTGTCATCCATGTTATTTGGCTGAATCAAAGTAAGAGCGTTTGCACTGATTAGACCTCAGTCACCTACTAGCCCACATTAACTGATCAATATGACTGGAATGTATTGGAATCAATTGCATTGATCTGAGCTGAATTTGGATGGAAATGGTTTGAATATGAACTGGAACTGTTTGTCTTCTGGTTTGTCCTCAGATTAAAAATGCTTTCAATTGTCGCTTTATGAATAAACTTTAGGTAAAGGTAATCAAATTGTGCATGCTACGTTTGCTATGTCTGTTTATTAATTTATTTTTAAAGACAATTTCTTAAATGATCCTAAATAATATATGTTAGAAAAAAGATTTCTTTTACATATTTGTTGAAACTGTCACCATGTCATGACATGACTGTTAGAAATATCAAGCTCCTCTGCCATCTCACAGTTCTACTGTTGCAGAAGAAATGCACCACTCCTGACAAAAACAGCCAACCAGAGCCAGGAGGAGGGCCTTAGCGCTGTCAGTCATGCTCATGTATGCGCTGGTAAATGTGCTAGTGGCAGAGAAACAGCTTACAGTTACAGTAAAATCATTTATCCGCATTCATTGGTGGCCATGCTAACTAGCCTAAGCATTCACAATAGGCTATGCTAGCTGCAGCACAGCAGAGCAAGGTGTAAGTAGCGCAAACAAGAGGGTGATTGAAACAACCAATCAGAGCCTCTTGGCTCTGATTGGTTGTTT